CTCCCCTATATTAAGACATTTTTTTAAATTAGCACATGTTTTTTATTCTCTGGGCCTGGGCATTTTGGGAATACAAAATAAGGGGGGACATTTTTAAGTAAAAGACAATTGAATGGAATACTAAGGGGGGAAATGTAAAATTCTATGCCCAGCAACAACCAACAAAAATAATAGAGGGAGAATTAGTTTTTTCAGACAAATAGCTGAGTTTGTCACCGATATACTTTCTAGGTAGGTGGATGGTTATGTGACTGGAGATGGAGGTCTTCACATAATAAAAGATTCAATACACAGGAAGATAAAAGGCATAAAGGTATCTCTGATAACATTCACAAAAGACATAAAACAAAAATTGGCAAGTACAAGAATAAAGAGAAATCTACCATCAGAGCAGATGATTTTCACACATCTCTCTAATAGATTGCAGTGAGTTAATAGTAACCCTCCATAAGATAAATTCACGTCTTAATCCCTGGAACCTGTGAATGTTACTCCATTTGGAAACATGTTCTTTGCAGATGTAATTAAAGATCTTGAGAAGATCATTCTGGATTACCCAATGACAGGAGTCCTCAAAAAAGGAAGGCAGAGGGAGATCTGGGACAGAAGGTGAGACAGAGAAGAGGAGGAGGCAATGTGACTACAGAGGCAGAGATTGGCGTGATGAAGCCACACACACATACACACACACACACACACACACACACACACACACACACACACAAATGCTGTCAGCCACTAAAAGCTGGGAGAAACAAAGAATGGATCTTCTCTAGAGACTCCAGAGAGAATGCAACTATGCTGATACCCTGATTTCAGACTTCTAGCTTCCAGAATTGTCAGAGAATACATTTCTGTTATTCAAAGCCACCCTTTTGAATTAATACATGAATCAAGAGCACCAAAAAATCTTTAAGGGATTTAGAAGATTTAAATAACAATACAATTACCAAGCTTGATTTGATGAATACATGTAAAACATTTCACTCAATAACTGCAGATATATACATTCCTTTCAAGAATATGTGAAACATTTACAAAAGTTAAACATAGTCATAAAGCAAGTCTCTCTACATGACTAAGTATTGGCATCATTATTCTCTGACCACTAGATAGTTTAGTTAGAAATCAACAACCAAAAGATAACAAGTAAACTCCCATATTTCTACTCTTCTAATCAACTCATGGGTCAACACATCAAAATGGAAATTAGAAGACATTTAGAACTGAAGGGGTTGGTACTACTATAGCAATTCGTGCACAGGTGGAGTCCCTGAGCCTGGCCAGCGATCAAGGCCTATCGGAGGGCTGGCCAGCCAGGGTGAGGGGCCACAGGAAGTTGGCCAGCTGCCCTCCACATCAGGACTGATGGGGGGGGGGGGGGCGGCCAGCCAGGCAGGGGAAGAGCCACAGGAGGTGAGCATTTCCCCCCTGGTGATCAGTGCGCATCATAGCAACTGGTTGACCAGTCGTTCCAAGTCCTGATGGTCACTTAGGCTTTTATATAGAGAGAGAGACTGGTGGCCTAGTGCACGAAATTCGTGCACAGTTAGGGTCCCTAGGCCTGGGAGATTGGTGGCCTAGTGCACGAAATTCATGCACAGTTAGGGTCCCTATGCCTGGCCGGCGAATGCCGGCTGGGGCCTTCTTTCATTACGCGCCACCCCATGGTGGTCAGCGCACGTCATAGCCAGCGATTGAACTCCCAGTCTCGGTCAAACTCCTGAGGGAACAATTTGCATATTAGGCTTTTATATATAGAGATAGATAGATAACTTCCATTCTAGGAAGGCCCTACTTTAGCACACTGGTGAATGCTAAACCCTTCACATGTGTACTGCCAAAGTGATCAATATAAGACATTCATTTTTACTGTAATTGGTTAGATACACCACTATGGTGTCAGAGTTCAGAACGAGTCACCCTAAGATGTGCCTTTGTGGTAAGTGGATTATTTTGAGCTAAAGCAACTGAAATCCTGTAGGCTCATAAGAAACTTCTGGAAAAAAAAAAACACTTCTGCCCCCCGCCCCCTTTAACCACCTAGAATAATTAAAATTAGGGCCTTGCCCATAATAAGAGTTATTAATCAAAAATAACTTTCTATGAACTATCCACAGGGCAGGGCAAATTACTAATTACTGAACATCTGCTCTGATCATTTTGCATATTACCTTACTCCCCTCTGAAGCCACAAGGCATCTTCATCCTCAGCTCAGGGACTTTCTATCCCTGAACCTCTCATGTATGTGGTGTCTCTGACTCTCTTGTGTGTATGTATGTAATTAAATTTGATTATTTTCTCTTGTTAATCTGTCTCATGTATATTTCATTATTAGATGAGCGGAAAGAACATTGAAGGATAGAGGAAAGAATCTTTCTCCTGCACAATGAAAAAAAAATCTAATGATGATTGGGTCAAAGCAGTGACTGACAGGGTGCAACCTGCCATACGTAAGAAGAAACACCATCTACTGAAGGGAAATCAAATGAACATATTGATAACTGGTTGATTTTATGGACATCCTCAGACTTGATTATTTTACACTTACAAACATAATATATCTTAATAGTTATTATTTAAAATCTTTGATGTTTTCTGGTACATGGAGATAAGGAATAGCATTACCAGCAGTCATTGACTCAACAACACAGGTAATAACTGTGGATAGTCACAGATATTAATCTGTTTGGCTTTTTGTTTTGTTTCCTATTTTCCACTAGGCTATGAGTTCCTCTAAAGCAGGATAAATGTATATGTAAAATATATATGTAAGTTTGTTTATGTAAAGAAAAGACTAATTCCAAACATTAAAAGCAGGTACTAGGGTAAGGAGATGCTGAATGGATTTAATGGTTCTTGGTATCTGTCAACATTTTCTATGTTCTCTACAATGAGCATGTATGTATTAGTTTTACAACCAGAAAAATATTCCTAACCTTATAGTTTAAAAATACAAACCATAAACAACATTAAGGAAGTATAAATTGGAATCCTATATGGCAAGACATTTGCTTTGGCTTCCAGAAATAGAAATCTCAAGTAAGAATTGCTTTTAAATCAAGGCTATTCGTTGGCTCAGTAGTAAGGTGTAGGAAGGGCAAAGGGGAGGGCGTAGTTCAGTCAGGGCTCCAACTCTGTTCTCTGCCATGTTCTCTGTCCTCATCTCCGCTTTTGCAGGCCTTATCCTCAGACTGCCAGCAAAATAGCTGCATAGCCCCAGGCCTCTTATACCTAGTCAACAATGTCAAGATGAAGTTCTTTCCCAAAAACTCTCAGTAAACTTCCTCTCAATGTCTCAGTGGCCCGTTCCTAAACCAATATTTAGACCTGTGTTCCAGAGCCATTTACTGGCAAGAGCTGGGTTTTATTCCAATAAGGCCTACCCCTGGAATTCAGGGTAGGATCAGCTTCTCCTTAAGGACACTGGCTGAGAAGGGAAGATGCAAGAACAAAAACTGGGGTTAAGTTGGGGGGTTTTTTGGGTTTTTTTGTGTTTTTTTTAATATATTTTTACTGATTTTTTATAGAGAGGAAGTGAGAGGGATAGACAGAAACATCAATGTGCCCGCAACCAAGGTACATGTCCTTGACCGGAATCGAACAGGGGACCCTTTGATCTGCAAGCCGACGCTCTAGCCACTGAGCCAAATCAGTCAGGGCAAGTTGGGAGGTTTAAATGAGTGCTGGGTAGGCAACAATGCCCATTATAAGCCCAAGTACCTAATCTGTTGAAGTCTGTCCATTACACAACCCCATGCCAACCTCTCCACTCCCTCCCCTTCAGAAATACCTCCCTAATCAATATATTTATGCAAAATTATGAATCATCAATTGATAATTATGAATTATCAATATATTTATGCAAAATTAGAATCAAGAAAGACATAAACTTGTGGGTTTTTTAAAAATATATTTTATTGATTTCAGACAGGAAGGGAGAATGAGAGAGAGATAGAAACATCAATGATGAGAGAAAATCATTGACTGGCTGCCTCCTGCATGCCCCCTACTGGGGATCAAGCCTGTAACCTGGGCATGTGCCCTGATGGGGATTGGAACCGTGACCTCCCAGGTTGATGTTCAACTACTGAACCACACCAGCTGGGCAACTTATGTTTATTTAACTACGAAATATATATGGGGTTAATTGTCTAAAAATAGTTAAAACTTGGGATGAGGTGTGGCACAAAGACTTTGTCACTAAGAATTAGTCTTTGTATGGCTTTAAATGCCTTAATGTCACCTTTCCCACAGAATATTTCATTGTAACTGTTCAATACTTTTAAATGAATAAATGCATAACAAACTCAAATCTACCTTAAATCTTATTTCACGTGAACAGTCCTTTTTTCTTTCATCAGCTCTTAAAACATAGCCTGTACTATGAGATACATTTTTCCTTAAGGAGAAGCAAAGTTAATTATTGCCATTTTTAAGTCTTTTCATCTCTCCAACCCTATCCCACATAATTCTTTTCATCTCTCCTCTCCTATCTCACATAATTCTTAGTAAAGTGCAATTGCTCAGAGGAGAGCAAGAAGAGGAAAGAAGAGAAAAAAAATTGTTATGAAAAAATCCAAAAACTGTACATGCCTCTTCTAAGTAGTCAAGTAAAAACTAATTAAATCAGAGAAGATTATGATAGACAACATTCAGACATATAGGTAATTTATTTTCATTACTATTTCATTTTAAATTTACTATTAATTGCATGAAGGCATTAGCATGGAAAACTTAAAAACGTAGCTCTGATAGAGCTGAACTATATTAGACGTAAGAAGAATGAATACTTGTTTAATCCCTAGGAGATTATACTGGTCCCAATACAGCACCTGACAACGACATGCCTGTGAATGCATCACGCAATTGAAAGTCTAAATGAAAAGCTATTGGGATGATCTTGATGAGAAGGTAAGAGGATTAGAAACATGTAAATAACTCCAGTCTCAATAGCTGAACACAGAGATTACTGCGTACAGTGAAGATGTGTAGCCACTCGGGGAGTGTTCTCTATTTGGTATTTCTTTACATCTTGGATTTTGTTCCTTCCTTTTATAGCTTATCGTTCGCATCCTAAATTCCATCCTCGCTGGGGAGCAGAGATAATCATGCAGATTTTCTCCAAAACTAATGAAGTTAGGCGCTAAAGGAAATGATTTTAGGCTGAAGGAGGCTATAGAACAAAAGCTTTTCCCACCAGCACCCTGTTACAGGCCTGTCCCTTTCACTCTGTCATTCACAAATATTTGTGCAGGTACTGTGTGTGCTGGGGCTGCAGGAGTAAACAGACAGAAGGGCTTCTGCCCCTCATGGAGTTTCCATTCCACTGAAGTGCCAAGTATTAAGCAACTAGAAGCCCGGTGCACAAAATTCATGCACGGAGCGGGGGAGTACCTCAGCCCGGCCTGCACCCTCCCCAATCCAGGACCCCTCGGGGGATATCCGTCTGCCTATCACAATCTGAGACCACTGGCTCCTAACCGCTCGCCTGCCTTCCTGCCTGATTGCCCCAACCCCTCTGCCTGTGTGCCTGATCACCCCTAACTGCTCCCCTGCTGGCCTAATCGCCCCTAACTGCCTCTGCCTCGCCCCACACCCAGGAACCAGGATTCCCTTCTCCGGCTGGTGGCAGGCACCTGGGACCCAGGCTTCCCTCCCTCTGGCCAGCTGCAGGCATCCAGGACCCGGGCTGGCTTCGCCCAGCCTGGCCGCAGGCGCTGGCACCCAGGACCGCAGGGCAGGCGGCTTGTCCCTCTCCTGGGTCACAGCCTGGCTGGTCCCCATTCCTCTCTCACGAGCTCATTTGTGCCTGGCTGGTCCCCATTCTTCTCTCATAAGCTCATTTGTGTCTGGCTGGTCCCTATTCCTCTCTCCCCAGTGTTGAGTGTCTGAGCCATTAAGGTGTGATGACCATTTACATATTAGCTCTTTATTATATAGGATTAACCACATTAGGCAAACCCATGACAAGCATTATGAAGGAAATTACTACGAGAGGGCATAACAGAGAAGATTATTTTACTCTGAGTGACCAAGGAGAAACTTTCTAAAAAGTATATTTCTGCTAAGATGAAAGGATGGTTGTAAGTTAGCCAGTCAGCAAGTTAGAGAACTTTCCACGCAGAAGGCATGTGGCATCCCCTAGCAACTGCAAGAAAGATAATGAGACTGGAATGGAGTGAAGGAGAGGGGAAGGGGTATGGCATATGAAGGACCAGGTAACAGCCAGGTCATGCATGTCCTTGTAAGTCCAGTTGAGGATTCAGTGTTTCTGTTTGAATGGAAAAGATGTAAGAAAGATGTGACTTACAATTTATAAGGGCAACCAACTGCCCCAAGGAAAGTGATCTGCAGGAAAGAAAAAGTAAAAAGAAAGACCAATTCGAGAGTTATGGCAACACTTCAGTCAAGAGATGATGGTGGTGTGGACTAGTGGGCTGGTAGTGGGGACAGAAAGAAGTAGTAGAATGCAACTTCATTTGGGGGTTGGGGTGGGCAGGAATTGATGCCCTAGATATTGAAGCTGAGGGAAAGAAAGGTTTAAAGGATGACTCAGCTGCTCTGATATAGACTGGAATAGCTGATCATGTTCACACATAGCTGGAGTTTTATCAGATGGCGCAATGGAAGGAGAGGTGGACAAGTGATGGCAATGATGAGTCTGCCATGAACTCCAAGCTGGATAAGAAAGAAAAGGCATATGGGGCAGAAGGCTAGAGAAAAGGTAGGGTTGTTTATGGGTGAGAAGCCTCCGTGAGGTTGAAGAGCTATTGCAAGGATGGCTGTCCTTAATCAAGAAACCAACAGGATCGGTCCACACCAAAAGGTAGAATGTTTGAGTTAGCAACCAGAATTGCTTCTCTACACCCCAGGTCCTCACAGCAACCACGTTTCTGGGTGGCATCTACCACCCACACACAAGACAGTGGCATATCAGAGTGCAGGGAGGATTTGAGCACAAAAGCACTTAACTGAAAGAGAAAACAAATTACCTTCTGAGATCCTTTCCACTTGGCATTAATGCAGTAGATCCTTGCATAACAAAGTGTCACTTCCCAGTTGTGCCAAGTGTCCGTTTGCATGTTCTAATTCATGGTCCTGGAGCTACTCTCTGTGTTAAAGCAATTTAATTTCATTTAAACAAGATAGATGGAATGCACTTGAAGAGTTAAGGGAAACATTAGAAGATCCTCAGATACAGTGAGTTATAGTCTTCCGTGGAAAATGGAATTACTTTTATATTTGCACTATCCACAGCTAGTTAGTATGAACTGTTGTTTCCAAAAGAAAACCATATAGAATTAAGTTTGTCTATTTCATTTTTAAAGCATAATTTTTTAATATTAAAGAAGATTTTAAAGGAAACAAAAATGTTTGCATAACTATGAAGAAGACTCATACAAAATTTCTCAAAATTAATTTCTATAGAGACTATTTTTGGCTGGTATAGATCAAAACCATGATGCTGTTGTCAATTTTCTTATTGTATCCTGTCATTGAAGGATTTGAAAGGAAAATAATTTAAAATACTGTATGGATCTTGATATTGCTTTTAAGAGACAATGAAACTCCTGATATTGGTAGTAGCAATTTATATAATAAAATAAAAATATTTTATACTATTTTCTGTGACAATACTTGATTATTACAACCTAACCCCATCAAAATGTGATATATTAAACATGATATATTAAACTCACGATGCATCATGATCATATGAGCATGATATATTAAATTCATGGTTTGTTTCTAATGTAAGGATTTAATTGGAAATTTCAGTTATTGCAACCTCAGCCAAACACAGTTTCTCCTTTTTTTTAAAATCCTCACCTGAGGATATGTTGAGAGAGAGAGACCTTCCCGAGAGAGAAACACCAAGTTTGCCTCCTGTATGAGCCCAGACTGGGGATCAAACCCGCAACCAAGGCATGTGCCCTGACTGGGAATCGAACCTGAAACCCTTTGGTGTACGGGATGACGCTTCAAACAACTGAGCCACCCAGCCAAGGCAGTTTCTCCATTTTGAAATGAAGGCAAAACACCTAGGAACCACAATATCCCCAGAAGTTTCTCTAATTCATCATTACTCTCAAAAGAACAGAAATGATGGGCAGGTCTTGATTGTAACAACATAATTAGTTACTTACTTAAATGAATCTTTAAAAATTAACTTTTATGGAGTAAGTATAACTTATTAATTATGCATGACTTTATTTTATTATTTATCCTAATAATAAACTCATGGAAAGAGCACCCAGACACACAAAAACAATTAATTTCAGTCATCTTTGACATTTTACCCTAACTTTACATATATTTTGTCATCATATAAAGGTATATTTAGCCCTAACTGGTTTGGCTCAGTGGATAGAGCGTCGGCCTGTGGACTGAAAGGTCCCAGGTTCAATCCTGGTCAAGGGCATGTACCTTGGTTGCGGGCACATCCCCAGTAGGGAGTGTGCAGGAGGCAGCTGATCGATGTGTCTCTCTTATCAATGTTTCTAACTCTCTATCCCTCTCCCTTCCTCTCTGTAAAAAATCAATAAAATATATTTAATAAAGGTATATTTAGCAAGAAAGTGGAAGAGGATCGGTGCTATTTAATAGTGTGTTAGCTGGATGTATAACATTCAAATAGTCAGACATACAGATGAACCCCCCTTTGTATCTTGCTGCAAATATGAGAACTGGGCCTGGTGAGGAGACGAGGGACACGGAGTCCAGAGGACTGAAGGGCCATCCACGGGGATGTTGAAGTTTCCCTCGTGGCAGGAGTGGACTTGAAGATAAAGGTTATCCAGAAGGAACATGAGGAGGTAGCAGCACCCAGGAGATGGTCACCGTGAGGAGGTGTGGCGGGAAAATCCAACGGTGTGAGCCTCAGTGGAGCCCACAGGAGGGAGGGGGGAGGAAGGAATGGAATGGAACAAGGACAGCAAGACCCCTCCCCATTGAAGGTATCCAGGGTATGCGGAATAAGTGTCCACTCCAGAGGCCTCGGGGAAGCTGTGCTCAGGGGAATAGCTAAGTTTGGAATTAAGGGCAAAGACCTGGAGAGAGTATTTGAGGAAACAATACAAAGAATGTGCTGACCACAGAGCAAGAGTTCTAGAAGGTGCAGTGAAACGGATTATAAAGGGAAAAAAGGGCTACAGGATTGTGCCAGGGGAGACTACAGAGAAGTTTGGAAATGAGAATTCAGGTTATTAAAAGTAATTGTTTGCACTTTGGGATAAAACAGCATTGAATGATCCAGTGCATCCAATCCCAGTGGAGTTCTAGGGGAAGCGAACACCTGGGCCTCACACAGCTGTGGTCTGGAAGTGAAGCCCTCCCTGGGATTGACATTCAGGACTGGCCACTGCCATCAGCCGGCACTGCCAGGTGCTGTGGGCATGTCCGCGGTTGGCACCAGTGAGCACAAAACACCTGGTTTTTCATGGCCAGTCAATCCAGGAAATTCTCATTGGCATTCCAGGAGGTGGGACCAAGATGCTTCCTGGTCTTGGGGCCAACACTCTCAACGGATTAGCCCTGGGCAGAGGCCAGGAGCTTTTAGAGGCCACACCAATCACGGGTGGGCATTAGTCTCTCTCTTGTCATATTTAAGAAGGGGCAGGAACCAACTCCATGTTTCATACACAATCACATTTCCTTAATTTTTTTTTGAAGACCTAATTGGTTTCATTGAATGATTCATGAATCAGGCAGCAGCCCATCCAGCAAATAGAAGGGAGTTCCCACAATCGACATTTTCATACATTATACCCAAAACTGCCTTTCATACTCTAAACCCAAACATTTTGGCTTTGGCACAGGCATGCCTCTTGCCAGCCAACAGGTCAATTTTGGCAGCTCCCTTTGATTATCTGGAAAACACTGTATGTTTATGAAAATTGCATGTTTTTGCCTTATTGTTTTGTAAAAATGAGTAGAAAATGGAAAACTGGATGCACTGATACCAGTGATTTTAAAAAGCAATAAAGTGAATCCCATTAAGA